TGGTTTTCTGGTGGTGTATGATGGGTGAGGGACAGTGCTGGTCCTTATGCAGAGAAGGTGAAATGGTATCACCCACAACCCAAGAAGGGGGACTTGTTGCTGGGGCCCTGTACCCCAGAGTCGGGATTAGCCCTGGAGGGATCTGGAAAATCAGACTTTAGTTATTGAAAGGATGACCCTGGGTACCATAGCAATGATAGTGTCCAGGGTGGCTCCCCACAGTGGATCCTTTTCCCTGTTATGGCCCAGGCCATAGTCTGCTGGGTGGAGAATGTAAGTGAACCTGGACATTATCAAGCAGAGACTGCGATCTGGGGCCTCTGGCCTAGCCCTCTGCTCACCTGCACATGAACTCCGAAGTGTTTCTGTGTCAGTTGCTCCCTTTAACAAATGAAAAAGCACATTATGTGCCGGTCTGGGTCACACACAGGTTCTCCTGCAAGCCCTTCGGCTGCTTCTCCCACAGCAAAGGCCAGAAACCCCCAGGCCCCTCAGGATATGCCGACTCCCCTCAGCCCCTCCTCTCCCTGTGCACCTGCTGCCCAGCTGTTGGGCACTGCCACCCTGCCAGGCACTGCCCACCATGGCATTTGCACAGAGCTGTCCCCTGCCAGAGGCACAATGTTTTCACCTCTGCTCACCCTCCCATCCAGTCCTGAGAAAGCCCAGGGAGGTGTCCTGGCCATCAGGTGTGTGGGGGGGGACGGGGAGATGCTCCCTGACACTGCTCTCCAGGGAGGCCTTGTGCTGGTGCCACAGCAGATAGCGCTGGGCTAGAATGAATTTCAGAAGCTCATTTCACCAGCACGATGAAGCCAAAAACAGAGTGTAAGATGAAAATATGAGAAGTTCTTTATTTTAAAGCAGAAAATTTGCATCATTGGAAAGGAGGTTGATTTGCCTGTTTGGTTAGGCATCATCCTGGCTTTGAAGGTAAGGGCCCTGTGGTGGGTCTGGCGGTGGAAGGGACTCGCCTCCTTCTGTTCGGACCCAGTTGCGCTGGCTTTGTCTGGAAGATCCTCTACCACTCCCTGGTACAGGGGCCTGGGCAGCTGGTACCCAGCACTGGTCCATCAAGGTAAGGAGGCTGAATCTGGAATGGCGCCACTGGCCCCCTGGGTAACCGGAGGGGAGGACATTCTTATGTGTCAGTCACTATCACAGAAGTGCCTGAGCCACAGGGAGTAGGACGCTTCTTGGCCAGTCAGAGCTTTGGAGCTGTCAGCCACAGCAGCTGCTGCCCCTCACTCCTGGGTACTGCACTGCACGCCTGCCTGCAGGTTGCGGCCTGGGCTGTGCATCTGTCTGCTGTCAGGCACGCAGCAGGAAAGCTGGCGTCTGCGCGTGCAACATGCGGGTGCTTAGGCATTAGACCTGCCTGCCTCGTGTGCCTTGTACGCAGCCAGACTGTCTTTCCAGTGGTCCCTGTGACCTGGGAATGTTCACCAGGATGCCAGGAGCTTCCCTCCCATTCTCTGAAGACCTCTCTGTTTGATGCCTCTGGGCCCCATCCCTGGTGACAAGAATCTAATCTGTCGAGGAAGAGAAGAGGGCATCCTTTGTCACGTCAGTGAGGGATTTGTCGCCCGTCAGTGCCAGGTGGGCTGCCGGGTGGTGTTGCAGCACTGGGAGGTGCGTCTGCCAACAGCTAGGTAGACACTGATATAGGAGTGGAGGAGGAGGAGGAAGAGGAGGGGGGAAGATCACCAGGGAGTGAGAGGAGGAAGGGCTCAGAGACTGAGCGACTCACGTCACTGATGGAATTACTGACCCAGCCATCCGCCAGTGAGGGCAAGGCCCAGCAACTGCACAGACAGCTCCCTCTGCACAGGGCTCACGTTCACCATCCGCTCTGTGGTCATGTTTGGCCTCTGGAGCTCTCTGGCCTCGCCTGCCTCCCGCACTGCTCTGCAACCTGGGGCTGGTTGTTTTCTCTGAGGGTCATGAGCAAAGGCTCCATGAAGAACCAGGCTTGCTGCCCTTCCCCTCGCTGTGCTGCAAACCTGAGGGGTTCCTTGTCACTTAGAGACCTGGGTTCCTGGTCATGCCCAAGTTGGGCTCCTGCAGACACAGGGTTTCTTGCAGTTGGCTCTGAGGTCACTGCCCACCTCTCTACCGCTTCCTCCAAGAACCCCTCCTCCCTCTGCTCTGGCTGTGACATACTGTATCCCCTGTTTGGTAGTGATCAGGGTATCTGTGCTCATCCCTGTGCTTCTGGGCACAGTGGCAAGTCTTATTCATGTCTGTCCACATCACCTAGCACAGGTGGCTGCATGAGGGAGGTGCTGCATGAGTGCTAGTCATAGGAGGCTCTCCAAGGGGAGGAGTAGGTTGCTGATGGGTAGGGTGACTGACGGGCTGGCGGGGAGACCCATTGGTTGACTAAGAGATCTTCAGGGGAGCAATGGAGTGGGGCGCCTTCCAAACATGAGTGCTAAGATGGATGCTGGGAACTCATCTCTCCTCACTTGCTTTCTCCTCATCCCTGGGGAATAAGCAGAAACAAGTTTGAATTAGAGATGTGCTGTCTGCCTGCCTGTTTTCCTCTCCTCCTTCCTTGCATCCATCAACTGTCCAACCACCCAGATAGTAGCTGCCTCCTCCTCCCTCCCTTCTTTCTTCCCTTCCACCTATCCACCCTTCCATCTAGTATTCATTAAGCATCTCTCTGGACCAGGCCCACTGCTACATCCCCAGAGCCAATCAGAACCATGAGGCTTTTAGGCTCCAAAGCTTCATGTTTCCTGATACCCTTTGTCTCCCCTTGGTGGGGTCTGAAGTATTGGGGGACAGGAAGCCCAATGGGTGGGGTGGGGCAGAGTGCCTGACTGAGCAGCCCCCCACGCCGTTTGTTTGCCTTATCTTAGTTAACAAAAGTTCACAAACGTCTCTAGGGAGAAAGACGCAGGTGTGAACAGTTTGAGAGGGAAACCCCCTAGAAGGAAAGTCCGTCTCATGCTGACAGGCGCGCGCGCGTGCGCGCGCACGCACACACACACACACACACACACACACACACACACACACACCCCTGAGCTTTCTCCCACTGCTGGTTGATGGAAACTACTGTTCCTGCCCCATGGGGCCATTAGCTGCATAAGATGCAGGTTTGATCCCAGGAAGCAGGGAAGGGGCCATGGGGAACATGGAACATGAAGCTGCTGCTGCTGCAGCCACAGCGCAGCCTCAGGCTGCACTTCTGGAACTGCCTGACCAGGTGCAGGTGTGCTGGGCTGGGGGTCTCACTGCTGCAGTCCCTACCAGATCCAGGGACAGAGACCAAGCAAAGGATGGTTGCAATGAGTGATCAAGGGACAGAGGTGACAGGGCAGAGCCATTTCATTCCACAGGAAATTTGAACCCGATTTCCAGATTCCACCTGGGATTTCTGCCCACAGAGTCTTGGCTGGGATGGGACCATCTCCCTTGAGTCCCTGGCCCCTATTGGTACCCACTTTGAGGGGTCATGAGACTGTGCTGACTGTGCCTGATGGGTGAGAATGAAGGGCAGCTGAGCCCTCCTGCTGCATGTTTTAAGAGGAGCCAAAGCACAAGTTTCTGGAAAGTATTTGCTGTTGGGATGGAGAGTCCCTCACCCCACCCCCAGTGCCAGCCCCACAGGGCCTCGGGATGGCGCAGAGTGGAGGCATGCCCCAGTGGCCTGTATACTGGATGAGAAAGTCAGGGACTAGGATGGGGTTTTCTGAAACAGACCCTGGGCTGAGTCCCTGCACTCCATCACTATCTAACTGACTGTGGGAATGGTCACCTCGGTGCCTGGCCACTGTAGCGTTCTGTTATTTTTGTCTGCTACTGTTTAGTCTGCATCACTGTTTAGGGCAGTGCCAGCCTCTCTGCACAGTTTTGCCACATAGTGTTGCCAACCTGAGCTCAGAGGGTGACCTCAGTCCAGTGGGACTGCCCGCCAGGCAGATAGCCGCATACGATTTCAGTTTCCAGTAAAAAGTGCATTCTCGTTTGCGAAATCTTAAAATGGCTTATGTTGGGCAGCAGCCGAAGGGCTTGGGTCAACATTAAAATGGAACCAAGTTTGTTTATTTACTGTTAGTGTCACTTAGGGTGACGTGGGTGACGTGCATAAGTTGTGAGCATGCAGCTCATGAATGTCTGCCCATCCCTCTTACCAAGAAATAAAGCACTACCATGTCCCAGAAAATCCTGGGCCTCTCCTGCCACAAGCTGGCCTAGAGGGACCTTCTCAGCCAGTCAGTAACCAGGCTTAATCAGACCTGAGGGGGGCAGAGCCACGTGGGACCCTGAGTCCCAGATGCTTCCTGAAGAAGACTGTCCAGTGGGACCACAGCATTCATTAGAATAGTGGCTGGTACCCCATTTATGGAGGCGGGGGGTACAAAGGCTTTCTAAGGGTGCTTTTTGCTCTCCCAGGTCCCTGTCTCATACTATGTTTACCCATCTCCAGGTGGCTATAGAGGATGACTCTCTAGGCCTGTCCCCAAGTGGTGCCTCCACCTCAGAAACAAAAGTGTGTTCTCTGGCCTGTGAGCAGGCAGCAGCCTGAGGCCCAAGTGGGCCTTCAGAGTTGGGAGCTATCTGACCATCAGGATCTACTTGAGATGGCCACTTGGTTTCTCCCTGCCGTCCCCAACACCAAACACAGAGTGTGGCTGCTTCAGTAGCAGGAGCCTCACCGCTTGTTGTCCGATCATGGTAAAGCAAACCTGCCTCCTCCCAGCTCCCTCTGCCTGCCTACTTCTCCCTCCTGGGGGAGGAGGACCTGTCTGTTGACTTAAGGGCCACTTCAGTTGCTCTGCCTGCCAGGATTGCTCGACGTGGCTGCTTTGGCATTCCCATGGTTTCCTTTTGGCCTGGTCTTTTCTGGCCTCAGCTTCCAGCAAGCCCAGTGCCTGGTGTGTCTCAGTGTGTCTCAGACTATGGGCCCAGTGCCTAGGTGCAACTAGGAGGCCACTGGGGCTCTCACAAGTTAGTCCTTACCTTGTGTATTGTCTGCAATTCTCCAGCTCCAAGAAGTCCAAGAAAGGCCCCCAGGTGACGGTGAAGCCCAAGCCCTCACCCCGGCTCACCATCTTTGACGAGGAGGTGGACCCTGATGAGGAACTCTTTGGCCCAAGCAGGAAACTGTCCCCTCGGAGCCCCTTGAAGAACACACCCCAGGACTGTAAGTAAAACCCTAGCATGAGTTCCCTTTGCTCTCGGTATCTGCTTGATGGCTGACCTCTATCCCAAATATCCTTTGTGAGTGGGATGTAAGTCTCTCTTTTATCCTGTTCCAACGGAATACAGGATCAGCTCATGGAGATTTTCTGCTTGAGAAATCCACCCTCATACCTGGTGTCCCTACAATCCAGAACACTCTTGGGCTGTACATTATTCTAAACATTCTACAGAGGAAGAGGTTTCTTTGTTGCTTGGAGAAAAAGTGCCTTCATTGTCTCTGCAGACAGATGTGGGCACTGGGCCTCTAGGCACCCTTAGGATGGACGGTGGTTGCTGGCCCACCTTGGACGTGTGTGCGACGCTGTATGATTTTTTTTTTTTTTTTAAGAGAGAGAGAGAAATTTTTTTAATATTTATTTTTTAGTTCTCGGTGGACACAACATCTTTGTTTGTATGTGGTGCTGAGGATCGAACCCAGGCCGCACGCATGCCAGGCGAGCACGCTACCGCTTGAGCCACATCCCCAGCCCATGATTTTAATTTTAACATTTTGTGTCACCTGCATAGACCCCACTGGAAGGGTCGATGCAAAGCTGGCAGCCTAGGGACTTTGCCTGTCCCTGTCTGACCTTTCCTTCTGATTCCCCAAATTCTCCTCCAGGGGGAGGGAGTGGATGTCACCCATTGTTTCAGACAGTACTTGGTGAGCACCCACTGATGTCCAAACCCCAAACACACTGAGGAATAAGACCGGTCCCCGCATTCTCAGGGTCCCACAGGGAGACAGGACATTACCTGACTATTGCAGAGTAGCATGAGCCTGTACCAGGGCTGAGCAGAAACACTGGTTCCCGTGGAACAGCAGGCAAGACTTCCTGGGTGGCAGTGTAACCAGCCTGGCCTGTAGCCGGGCTGGGTCCTGAATGTTGGCTGGAGTTAGCCAGACTGCCAAGGAAAGGCATTCCAAGTAGAAGCCACGGTTGACACTCCCAAAGGGCAGCTGAGAGCAGCCCAGACGGGGAGGCAGGCTTCCTGTAGACAGGGACTTCAGCAGGACAGTGACTTTCAGGGACCCCATGGCAGCAAGCGCCCCTGGCTGGCAGTGCCACTCAGTCCTAGCTCATTGGAAGACACTGTGACTTTGGGGTGAGCTGAGGGGTCCAGCTGTATTGGACCTGGGACCGTGACTGGTGAGTCAAGAGGAAGTTTCACCTAGAGCAGCGGGAAGCCAGTCAGGACTAGAAACTGGAGTGGGGCAGAGACAGATGGGTGTCCTAGGCCCACAGGGGCTGCTGTCCTCACCCTTTTGCATGCACCTGCTCCCTTTTCTCTAGTTTCCTTTGTCACTCACCTGGGTGGCTAGGAGGCTGGAGCAGTGTCTCTGCTCTGTCCCCAGCAGCTAAAGATGAGCCAGAGCTGCTCTGACCACTCTGCTGCTGCCTTCCCCACAGCCCTGAAGCTGTTTGATGACCCTGACCTTGGTGGGGCCGTCCCCCTGGGTGACCCCTTACTGCTGCCAGCCGCCTGTGAAAATGGAGGGCCCACATCAGGCCGGGGCCTCAGATCTGCATCTGAAGAGCTGTTCAGGTACCATTGTCCCAGGGGGTTTTCTCAGCTCTGAGCCAGCGACCCCTCACAGGATGGGAAAGTTCACCAGCCTTGGCCTCCAAGGGGAGGGATCCTGGCCTACTCAAGGCCTTCGGCTGGGAATAACCAAGAGGCAGGGATGGGATTTGCATCCAGGGCAACTCAGCTGGTGAGGGAACTTCAGTGTTCAGCCAGTCAGTTTCCTTTCTCACATACATTCCATTATGTGTAAAGAATGATAATTAAATTACATAACTCAAGAGCAAGTGTAACTGGCATAGATGGGTTTGGGAACAAATAAAATTGATAATTCATAGCATGTGTCTCTCCCAGAGGGAGAAGAGCTCAGATGTACCTACAATGGCCCATCCCCTGGGAGGGTCCCATCAGAGGGATGATGGCTGCTGTTTCCTGAGCACTTGTTGTGTGTCCGGCAGTGTAGGAGACTCTACACCTTATTTAATCTTCACAACAGCCCCCAAAGCAGCTACTGTTCTTTGCATTTTACACAAAATCAAGCATGGGAGAGGTCACTTGTCTGAAGCTGCAGCTTCTGCCTGCCTCTGTCCTGGCCTGCACTCCATCCGGAACTCTGAGCACTTGGAGGCTGGGTGCTCACCTCCCTGCAGGAGCTGTGGGTTCTCCCTGGGCCTCTGCAACCATGTTCTCAGCATGCTCAGACTTGAGCAAGTGTCCTCATCTGCACCCCAGGATATAGGGTGTGCTTGGCCATTTACAGGAAGCTGAGATGCCTCTTTCTAGGAATAGTTTATGTGGCACCGAGGCATGTAGTCCCAGGAGGCTGTCATCTGCACCCCTTGTTAGGAGCCCCAGGCTATTAGATAGCCCTCTAAGTGCCCGCCAAGCCTGAGTCACTGCGATGGCTTCTGTGTTTACATTTCCCCAAGGCCCCTGACATCTGTTCACTTTCATCCTGTGTCCTTGCTTCTAACATTCCAGCAGGGTGAAAGGAACCAGGATAACTGTTATTTCATCAGGGAGGAAACTGAGGCAGCAGGGAAGCCAATACTAGATCATCCTAGGGAGCAGCAGGTCCAGGCTGAGTATATCCTAGAGGGGCAGTTCTTATGGGACCTCTCCAGTGTAGTTTATTCTAAATCCATTATTAGCCAGGTATGGTGGCACATACCTGTAATCCCAGTAGCTCGGGAGGCTGAGACAGGAGGATTATGAATTCAAAGCTAACCTTAGCAAAAAGTGAGGTGCTAAGCAACTCAGCAAGACCCTATCTCTAAATAAAATACAAAATGGGGCTGGGGATGTGGCTCAGTGGTTGAGTGCCCCTGAGTTTAATCCCCTGTACCTAAATAAATAATAAATAAATCCATATTTACCAGTCTAATTTTGGCAAAGCATGGTAGAGTGGAGTGTTATTAGGCTACCTTCAGAGGGTTCTGTGGCCACGTGATTTGGGGAAATGTCAATGCTAGGCAGGACTCCTGCAGGCCTGTCATCTGGGCAGACATGTCATGTTTCTCATTGGTCCCTGGGACCCTTCCTTCATGTCTCTTAGCAGCCTGCAGAGCACCTTGGGAATCCCTGCTCACAGCATGTGAGCCCTGCATCCTCCCTTCACTCTAACAACATCTGGTAATGAAGAATTCGCTTCTTGAGAGCAAGAGCCATATTTCATTCTTCTTGTGTCTGCTGTGTTCCTACTCAGGAGTAATTAGACTTTCTTATAGAACAAAGCTCTCCAGCAGCCATTCCCTCCCCACTTCATCCCTTCTTTGATGCTCTCACCCCTCCATTCATTTCGTCAGCAGCCTGAGCTTCAGCCATCCCCAGGCAGCACAGGGTGGGACACGAGCAGGGTTTGGCACTGAGGAGTCTATGTTCCTCCGGTTCTGCAGACACATCAGGGCTGGCCTCTGGTTTTGATCTTTAGCCAAGTTCTGTCCTCTGCAGGGACTTTAGGACTTCCTCACCCCACACTAGAAGACCCCACCAAAGCTGGGTCTCGAAGAGAGTGGGACTGAACCTCGTGTTAGTGAGACCTGTTCCTAAGTGTGTCTCGGGGAGCCCCCATGGAAATAGGGTGCTTGGAAAGAGAGAGCCTAAGCAGCCACTTGTATCCCAAGAATGACTACAGTACCTTTGTATGGCCTCCCACCCACAGCCTCCCACCGCATAGCAAATCCAGCTTCAGACTAGTTCTATAGCAGCTGCTTGGCCTGAAATGTGACACGGGCTTTTAACTGCTGCTTCGTTTTCCTAAAGACCCCTGTTTTAAGATAATTCAGTCACTCTCAGCTTTCCCTGGTTACCCTTGACCTCCACTGGAGAATGTAAAGGGAACCAGTGGCTGATGCTGGGGAGCCGAGGAGGGGCTTTGGCTTGGAGGGAGCTGGGGCACAACTGAGCTAAACTTCCAGAAGCAGCCAGACCGTGACACCTCCCAAAATCTCCCTGAACCCTGTGCAGCTGCTCTCTATAGAGAGGCATTAGTGGGTCCATCTGGGTTTGGACCAGAAGGATACTTTTTGTTCATCTGGAGCAAGCTCAGAATTACCTCCCAGAGGTCTCTGCCCATTGCAGGAGTTCTCCCCCAGAAGCTCTGTGGATGGCAGGTTCCTGGCCGGCAGCCCCTCTGGGGATGCTGTGCCAGCCACCTCCACCCTCACACAGGCTCTGCCAGGCCATGCAGTGCCAGAGAGTTCTGATCAAGGCACCTCTGCTCTGCTCTGCCCCTACCCAACCCAGCCGGTGTCTGAGCAGATGATACTCTTGGTTCTGCGGTTGGGATATGCTGCTCAGGTCAAGAAACCTCCGCTGTCGGCCTGCTTGGCTCCTCTGCCAGTTCATTCCCACCTCCAGACCTTTGCTCTCTGCTACGCCCTTCTCCAGGATTCCCCTCCCTAACTCCCCTCATGCTGGGCCTGCCCTGCTCCCTTTCCTGGGAAGCTTTCCTCACCTGCTCTGGCCATGCGCTTCCCAGCCTTCAGTGACATCAGGATGTTTGCAATTGGTGAATCCTGTTGGACTGGCTTTTAGGGTGCCCTGGGGAAGGAACCTAGGCATTGCTCCTTTGTGCTTTGTGCTTGCTCTCTTCAGTGCCCAGTGAATGTCGACTGGCACCTGCAGTATTTTTTAGATTTATAAAGCACTTTCCATCTGGATTTTGTTTGATCCTTACACAAATCCTGGCGAGGCTGGCAGAGTGAGAGCATTCCTACTTTACAGATGGGGCCGCCAAAGACCAGGAAGGTGGAGTGGCCTGAGGCTACCAGCCAAAGGAGCCACAGGACAAAGAATAGCAGCCGCTGCAGAGCCAGCACCTCTGTGCATAGTGCTGGCAACCCTGCCGGGCGGTGCTGCTAGTCCAGTTTTATAGATAGAGAACCAAAGCTTGGAGAGGCCAGTTGCACCTGCTCCCCAGGTCCTTTTTCTTCCGTGCCTATGTCCCCCTCACCCAAGCCAACATGGCCGAGGATGCCTGTGGAGATAACTGTCGGGCACAGGAGCAGCTTCTTTCTGGGACTGGAGAAGGGGCTTCCATGTAGAGGTGCCCCAGGAAGGTGAATGCCCCCAAGAGAGCCAGCCACATGTGGGCCAAGTATTCTCTGTCCTCAGGATAGCTGTGCAGACCAAGGCAGGGCCCTGTACTTCTCTGCACCTACGTTTTCATGTCTACAAAATAAGGCCAATATCTGCCACCAGACACTGTTTTGACATTATTAAACAATTGAATACATGTGGAATTGCCTGGCCATAACAGGCACCCAGCATGGTGCTGGTTGGGTGGCAGGTCGAGTGAGTCCTCCAGTGTATATCTGGCCTCTGGGAATCGAGTTCCTTTCCCAAGAGCCAGCAGCAGGAGCCTGCACCAGGCTTTTGGCCTTTTTCCCTGCCATTCATACCTAGAGGTGGTCCTCCATGACTGTCACTTTACCGTGGACAGTCAGAGGTGTGAGCCATGAGTGAGTCTTGGTGGGCCCTCACTGGGCCTGTTCAGCACCTGTGTGGCCCACAGAGAGGCAGGCAGACCCCACATCACCACAACTTCAGGCCCCTCAGTTATTCTTTCTCTGGGTGAACTTGGTTTGGCTGCATGCTGGTCTCTAAGGTCTTGTTTGATCCTGACACAAATCCGGGCGAGGATACACATCCTCTTAGCTGGGCCTTCAGCCCCCTGGGTTCCAGCTTCCCCTCTACAAGGTGGACACATGGGTGCACCTCCCTGGAGTGGTGTTTTGAGGACAAAAGGGATAATGTGTCTGAAGTGCTGGTCCCAGAGCAGGGCTTGCCAGTGGACGGTTATTTCTAAAGGATTGGAGGGAAAGTCCCCTGAATAGGCCAGCAGGCTTAGAGAGAGGTCACCTGAAGAGCATTTTCAGGAGGTGTCTGGGGGACTGGCTCTGCTCCCTGTGCTATGGGGTGGAGGGAAGAGCACTGCCCTTTGGCTTCTCCCTGGGGTTGGGTGGGATGGGGAGCCAGGCCTGTCATGGGCTGGTCTGGGCAGCTGCCCAGTGCCCTTGTGTGGAGAGGTGCTGCCTGGGGGTCTTGCCGCCTTCACAGGGGGTTGTTATGCTCAGGGCTGCTCCTTTGGTTCCCTAGAGTTGAAGAGGACTTGGACCAGATTCTGAAGCTGGGGGCTGAGCCCAAACCCAAGCCCCAGCTTAAGCCCAAGCCACCAGTGGCAGCAAAACCGGCACTGCCCAGCAAGCCACCTGTGCCCCCCAGAGCAGGTGCAACTGAGAGCATGGCGGGGCAGCAGAAGCAGCAGCAGCAGCAGATCCAAGCCATGGATGAGATGGACATCTTGCAGTACATTCGGGACCATGACACACCTTCCCAGACCTCTCCCAGCCTCTTCTGACCCCACTCCATGCTGCCTGGCCCTGCACACCCTCTGTGGAGGCGTATGTGTGTGGAGCCAGGACACCCTTGGGACAGCAAGCCTGGGCCCCAGGACCACATAATTCTTTTTTCTCCTGGGCTGTGGGCTTGATGTGGAATCCCTGCAGAATACAGGCTGGAAGTGACCATGGGAATTGAAGCCCACAGTGTCAGTCTAGCTGGGTGTGGAGGGGAGACTAAACATGGAGCTGCTTGGCTCACCAAGGACAAGGTGAGAGGTGAGGGGACCCCGGGAGGTGTTCCATGGGACAGGGAAACCTCCTACCCACCTGTGCCCACTGGCTCTGCCAGCCTAGCCTCAAAAGGAAGACCTGGCCTGACTGGGCCCAGGCTGAGATGAGGGAGCACCCATGCCAGGCCACCCAAGAGTCTCTGCTTAGCATGCCAGGGCCTGGAGAGGGACACTGAGCAGAAGAGCCCTGCTGTCCAGAGTGCCCTGATGAGTCTCTCATGAGCCTCATAGTTACCAGCCCTAAGGGGAGCAGCTGGGCCCAGCCTGCTTCTCTGGGATATAGAAGACTGCTGGATCCCAAGTTTTCCTTCTACTTCCTTTCCCAGGAAGGGTCTAGCCAGCAGTGACCTCCTTGGGCCTCTGGGCACAGAGCCAGCACCCCCTAGACCTCTGCATGATCTTGGGACTTGAGTTGACTTTCTTCCCAGTGCCGTCTCCTGCTCTCCAAGGAACATGATGCTCTCAGGCTTCTGCTCCAAGGCCTTGCCTATCCTCAGGATCTGGACTTGTTCAGTGGCCTTTCACCAGTAGAATCACCAACCTAGGGAGGAGCCTTGTTCCAGGGCAGGCCAGTGCCTCAGAGTTCTCCCAGCCCCGCAGAACCCACAGTGGGGCACACAGTGCTGGGTAAGATGCAGCACCCAGGAGACTCAGCGAATGTTGCTTCATGGAGCAAATAATATTAGATTGTCTTTCTTGGATGTATATTCTCCATATTCAGAGCTAGTTTTTAATGAAACAAAATAGTTTTTAACAAAATGCAACCACTGTTGTTTCTTGGTGCTGTCCTGCCTGGCAGAGGCATTGGAAGGGGTCAGGACCTAGGCCTGTGACCCTTTCCTGATCAGGCCCAAGAGCCAGCCCAGGGGAGGCCCCAGGTGACGTGGGCCAGTTGTTTGCCACTGTGTGACCAGTATCCACAGCTTCTGCCCTGTGCAGGAACCGCAGGGCTGGGTTGGGAGCCCTGGGCCTGGTCTGTCATCTGTCTTACCACAGCCCTCATCAGCTGCCTGCCCTTGAGCAGGTCAACACCCAGTGAGAAGATGTAGGTGGTACTGGGCAGAGTTCTGCCTTGTCTGGTCAGAGGGGCGTCTCTCCTCAGGGACTGGGAGCTGGCTGTAGAACAGCTTCCACCCTGGCTCATCTTTCCCTTTCTCCATCTGGCATTCAAACCCTCCACCCTTCACCTGTTCGTGCCCAGCCCTGCACCCCACAGTCTCTGCTGGCTGTGAAGGAAGGCCTCTGAGGACCTGAGACCATGTAGCCAGGTCTTCTCTGAGAGTCTGCCCAGTCAGTACTGGCCCCAGCCCTCCTTTGGGCTCTTCGCAACCCCTGCCCTCTCCTCTGCATCCTGGCTATCAACTCCTTATCCTTCCCCACCTCCCCGCCCCCCTTTTCTGGGTGACTGGTAATGTAGGAGCAGAGGATGTAGCTGGCAAAGTGGCCATTGGACCAGTCCCCTGGCTTGGGCCTCTGACAGAATCTGGCCAGACACTTTAGTGTGGGTTTGCCCACTGCACGCCCTGCCTCCTCGGTGGCCTGGAATTTTCTAGATGCTTCTACAGAGGTCTGTGTCCCTGAGACATGGCTGTTCCAGCTGTGGCTTGTTCTCACCATACATCTAAGACCTAAAGCCAGTGGGTGACACCCATCATCCAGTAAAGTCTGTGTGCGTGCCTCATTCTGGAATGTGCCAGTGATGTCCTTTTCCATCCCTGGACTGATGGGAGGTGGCGGGGAGTGTCAGGGTGCAGGAGATGCATGTAGGGGGTTACTCATAGCAAGAGACAACCAGACGAGCTTCCCTCGTGGGACCCCACATCTTCTGTTGCTCTGCCTCATCCTCCCAGCTGCCTCTTACTAAGGTAGGGCAAAAGGAAGAGGAAGATTCTGTTCTTTCCCATTGTGTAAACTGAGGCAAAGGACCCAGAGGCGCAAGCCCAGTGAGGACATTAGGCCAGTAACTGATCATCCAAGACCTGTGTAGAAAGAGGAGCCCTTCCTTCTCCAGGCCTCACCTCCCACCCCCACACTGCAGAGCTCTAAGCTGGGACCATCTAATGTCACACAGCCCTCCTGGCCTCTGCCCACACCTGTCCTGGCCTCTGCTCTCCTGCTAGAACTCAGGTTCTAGGCTGCTGCTTCATCCCTGAGACCCAGAGGTTCAACAGCAGATGCTGCAGGGTGACACCCACTGGATACCTGAGAACAGGTTCCCGGGGAGCCAGGGACTCCACACACAGGACAGTCTGTGGGCTGACATCGCCGCCTCCCTCCCCCACACCTTGAGCTTGGCTCTTGCAGCCGAGATTGAGTTGGGAGTCTGGGTTCCCACAGACCATCAGGCCATTCTGAGGAGGACTGCTCAGCCCCAGAGCGTGCAGCTGAATTCACCGTGGAAGAGAAACTGAGAGGCTGAACTGGGGACAGTGTCATTTGTTTACTTGGAAGGCCATTGCAAGCCCGTGTACAGGATGTGCCATCTGTGGCTGGGCCTGCTGCTCCCTTTCCCCTGCATTGTTTCTCTCAGGAAGCCATGAGTTCAGGCCAGTTCTGGAAAGTCCCAGTCTTCAGGCTGGACCTAGCCAGGCCAGTGTCCTGGGCTCTGCTGGAGATGCCCACCCATTAAGCTCCAATCTCATGACCATGTCGATTTGATGTGACCAGACCTCAGCTCACCCATTGTACCCCGAGGGCTGTCCTACCGCTGGAGCCCTCATGCCAGGTGAGGCAAGATAGCCACGTCACTCTTGGGGACCCTGTTCCTCCATGCCCAGCTGACAGCTGAGTTTTGTGGATTTAACTGGCATGGAAGGTCATGGTCAGTTCTCTAGCTCACCAGCTACCCAGCCGAACACATCCTGAGAAAGAGGGCCACAGAGCTACCAATATGTCCCTGAATAGTGGCTTTGGCTGGACAGCAGTCATTTTCCCGTGCTGTGGGGGTGTGTGTGTAGACTGCTGGCCACCCAGAGCAGGCACAGTTAAGGCACAGACCCCTTTAAATGGTCCTGCTCACTGCAAACTCCCCGGGTTCAAACCATCCTCTGCTTTGTGCCGTTGTGGCTAGGGGAAGCTGCCCAAGGGGCACGTGAGTGGTCATAAGTGGCTGTTGGTTCTCCTGGAGCCCACAGCATCCTGGTGAAGCAGCGGTCAGGCTGAGTCACCATGGAGCTATCTGGGTTCCAGCCCAGCTGGGCTCTGTGAAGTCCCCTCACTCCCCAGTGCCAAGCAAGGACCTTTACCCAGACTTATGTGAATGTAAAATCCCATCCGTGCCTAAAAAATGTTTTAGTGGCTGGTCCCTCCTCACAGAGGGACCCTCTGCCCAGGACAAGCTGGCCGCAGGGTGGGTGACCAGAAACAGGTCAGCTTTAGCTCAACCTCCAGCCGGGTGCCCCTGATCTCTATGCTGGATGTTGTGCTATGACATGGTGAAAACAGAGTGTGCAGACCTCCACCTGCCCAGTGTGCTGGCCTCTGGCTCCTGTTGTCCATGCTCTGGCCACTGGTGAGAACTGAGATCATTCTCAGGACGAAGCTGCAGCTTCTGGCTTGGGGATTATGGGCTCGGCATGAGGCTTGGTAAGCGGACTCTAAAGGCAACTTAGAGGCCTGATGCATCTCTGCCGACTCAGCAAAGAGAATGGCCTGTGAACAGATTGTTAATAAAGCTGGGGTAACTCCCTCCAGCCTTGCTGGCCAGTTGTGTTATGGTTCCTCATTCTCAAACCGTATTCAGTGGGCATCAACTGTGTGCAGGAACTGTGTCCCTCAAGCAGGGAATCAGGAAGGAAGAGGCCTAGGAAGGCAGAGAAAAGCATGACAGCCCTCCTGGTCAAGAAGCACCGTGTTGCCAGGTGTGGTGGTGCATATCTGTAATCCCAGTGACTCAGGAAGCTAAGGCAGGAGGATCACAAGTTCAAAGCCAGCCTCAGCAAATTAGTGAAGTCCTGAGGTCCCAAGCAACTTAGCAAGACTCTGTCTTAAAATAAAACATAAAAAGGGCTAGGGGTGTGGCTCAGTAGGTAAATGCCCCTGGGTTCAATCCCTGATACAAAAAAAGTGCCTCATCATGGTGGCAGTCACAGTTGGTGTGCATATCAGCTGCTGGGAGAAGAAGGATGAGGGTACAAACCATACCGCACAAGCAGGGCGGGGGTGGTGAGGGGCCTGGCAGCTGCAGCTGTGGCCAAAGAGGGACTAGGCCTGTGCAGACAGCTGGCACTGCCGTGGAGCTGCTGTCTGCAGTGCCTGTTCCTGGCGTGGCGGAGGACACAGAGACGGAAGCTCCACCGTTACAGCTGGTCCTGCCAGGAGCCATGCAGAGCCCTTGTCTCAGTCCTGTTCTTCGGGCCTCCTGCCCAGAGACAAGTAAAAGAGGCACCTTGTCCTCCATGCACCCTCTCTGCCCCCATTCTTCCCTCTTTGCTGCCTGCAGCAGGTATGGTTTGTTGTAGCAGCCTGAGCCCAGCTTTTGGTCCCTGCACCAGTGTCCAAGGGCTGCATAACAGAGTGGCTGTAAACAACAGAAATGTTCTTTCACAGTTGTGGAGTTTAGACCTCTCAGATCAAGGTGTTCTCAGGGCCACGGTCTCCAGAGTGTCTTTCTGGCTTCTGGTGGCTGCTGGCAACCCTTGCATTCCTTGGCTTATAGCTACATCACTCCAGTCTCTACCTCCATCTTTGTGTGACAGACTCCCTGTGTGTCTCTGTCTTCACACAGAGCTCTCCATGGCCTCTGTGTCCAAATTCCCCTCATTGGATCAGGACCCGTCCTAATCCAGAGCTTACTACCTTATTCACATCTGAGTGACCTGTTTCCGTACAAGACCTTCACAGGTTCCAGGTGGACATGAATTTGAAGAGACCATCTTCAGCCTGAGTTGCCGTCACTCAGGTTGAAGAGTGTCTCCTCAAATTCATGTCCGCCTCCTGCCCTGAGTGGTGGACATTCACCTCCTGCCCTGAGTGCTTGGCATTAAGGCAAGGAAGGCAGCTGCCCCTTCTATCCTGCAAAGCCATGGCCTCCATGCTGGTCCCTGTAGGAAGCCCCTTGTCCTGGCCCTGTTCTTCAGACCTCCCGCCCCCTGGGGCATCAGTGACTCACTTGGGGCTGTCATGCTAACAGTGGGCAGCAGTGTTCCTCCCTTTCTGGAGGGCAGCACAGCTCAGGGAGGGTCTTCGGTGGCAGGTAGCATCTGCCACCCAGAGACTTGGTCTCACGTGGCCTGATGGCTGTTCCAGGCAGCTGGCTCCTGGGGCTTCCCCTCTGCATCTCCTCATCTCTCACCGCCCTCCAAGGAGATCAGAAAAGTTTCTTGAGGCAGGAACCCAGAGCTTCCAGAGCCTGAGGGCCTCGGACAACTCCTATGCCCCGCATGCTCAGCTGGTTTCCTGCCTCTGGGGAGCAGACCCTTGACATCTCCACTGTGCACTTCTGTTTTTCTTTTGCCTTAATGGCACTTTGTGGACTTCCCCTGAATTCTCTGGTCCCAGAGGTCAGTTTTGTAGACAGTAGATTCCTTGTCCACCTGTTTCTCAGACATCCATGAGCAGAGTCTGAGTTTGATGCACTGCCCCACCCCGCCCCATGACAGCCGTGCTACACTCCCCAGGCTGGTTCTAGGACTCTCATGAGGTCCCCTCTGAATTTGAATCTGGACCTCCCAGGCTGCAAAGCTCCTGAGTGTGGGAGTAGAAAACGCTGCAGCACCTTGGAAAGAAGTCGGGCAGTTTATCATAAAAGCCGGATATAAATTTATCATACAACCCAGCCACTCCCCTCGTAGGCATGTGCCCAGAAAGAAAGGGAAGTATGTGCCCACACGAGGCTTGTACAGAGATGTTCACACGGCAGCATTACCTACCACGCCCCAAAGTGGAAATAATGGAAAAGGTCCGTCAGCTGGGGAATGGGGACACCATGCAGTCTGTCCATACAGCGTAATGTCATTTGGCCATTAAAAAGGACTGAAGAGGTGACACCTCCTACAGCATGAATGAGCAGCAAAGCATCATGCTAAATAAATAAGCCGGACTCGGAGACCACTTATTGTTTCCACGTCCACGAATGTCCATGGCAAATCTCAAGGCAGAACATAGATTAGTGGATGCCTCAGACTGAGGGTCAGGATCAACAGTGATTGCAGATGGCCACAGAGGATCTTTCCTGGAGCGATGGAAATGTTCTCAAATTGGATAGTTGTGAGAGTTAAACAATTCTGTAAGTTTACTGACATGATTTAATTGTACACTTAAAAAAGTTAATCTTACGGTATATAAATTATACCTCAATAAAACCATTAGAAAAAAAATAGTGACTAGAAAAGAAACAACCAAACAAATTCATGGGCAGTAGAATGCAGTGGCTAAAAGTGTGAGTCAACTCTTGTCTCTCTGGCCTCCTAGCAGTGTGACCCTGGGCCAGTTCCTTAACCTCTCTGTGCCTTGGTATTCCTGTAAAATGGGAATGATGATTGTATTTGCCTATTAGGCAAGCTAATATTTGGAAAGTTCTTTGATCAGTACCTGGTGCATTGTGTACATTACATGTGAATAATTAAAATAATGTTTACTTGTCACTCCATTGTCTGTGGTGCCTGAGAAATTCTGGAGGGAGGGCCGGACTTTGGGGTGGGGAGGGAAACCAATGGGGGTTGCCATGGAGGGCGGATGTAGGTGAGAGGAGGGTCACCCCCCATGAGAGGTCATTTTCTGCCAGTCACTCAGTTTCTCTGAGTCCATCTGCCAGGGAGGGTAACAGGCCCTGCTTCTGCTGCCTCATGGTGGGGTGGGGACATGGGAGATGGCACATGCCAAAAAACCATTTGAGACCCACAAGAGGCCCAGCATGAGGAGCCTGGAGCCCGGGGGGCCTGGGAAGTGAAGAGGGGCCAGATCTGGGTGGGCCCTGGAGGGCCGGGAGGAGGCAGCTGGAACGTGCTGGAAGCCGCCATTGTGGTGAGGGTCCCTGGGAAGTCAGCAGCGGGCTGTGGCGCAGGCGCTCCCCCAATACACCCCACACTGCAGTTTTCCCTGCACCATGGAGATGCGGAAATAAACACACTGCCCTCCCTCTCAGGGCCCCTGACCTTTTGTTCAGAGCAACTGGCCAGGCCGGGAGGGAGGCGGGGAGGGAGGCGGCTGGCTGAGAAGGCAGGAGCTGCCCCTTCTGTGGAGCTCCCCATCCTCTCCCCGCTCTCTGTGGGCCCGAGTGAGCCCTCACCCCTTCCTCCCAGGAGAACCGCCCACAAAGACTTACGCACAATGTCCACAGCAATTCCCTCTGTCCAGAGGAAGCCACCCGAACAGCCTTTAGTGGGTCAGCAGACAGACCGAGTCTCCATGTATGGTGCTGTGCTCTTCAGCAAGGAAAGGGGAGACTTCCGGTGGCTCCAGCATGAGCGGATCTGAAAAGCATGTGGGGTGAAAGAAGCCAGACCCCAAGCCATGACTGTAGGCTCCCATTTATATGGAATTCGGGAAGAAGCAAAGCTGTAGTGACAAAGAGCAGCCACTTCAAGGGGACAATCAGAGGGGACTGACAGCAGCAGGAAACCTTTAGACCCATAGAGCATGACGTGAACGTGACCACAGGTACTCACCCAAACTCACCACCTGGACACTGAAAATGGGGGACTTTATTGCATTTACATTATAACTCAATAAAGCCATTGAAAAAGGAAGCTCAGTCCAAAACTGAACATTTATCCGATCCAGAAATCATGCCCCTTGGTGTTTACCCAAAGGAGTTGTGGAGGTAAGTCTTCCACACGTGGATATTCACAGCAGATCTCTTCATAATTGCCCACACTTGGAAGCAACTAGGATATCCATCAGGAGGGGAATGGCTGGATGAGCTGTCACACAGCTGGACAGTGGGACACTATGAAGCACCGTATAGAAATGAGCTATAAGGTCATGAAACGTTATTGAGGGCCCTTGAGTGCACATTAGTCAGTGAAAGATCCAGTCTGAAAGGCCCCGGATGGTATGACTCCATGGAAAAGGTAAAACCACAGAGACAGTAGAAAGATGAATGGTAGCCAAGTGTGAGACGGAGGGAGGGATGAGCAGGCAGAGGACGCGATTTTTAGGTCAGAGAAACTGCCTGTTTAATTCTCTGTGGATATGTGTCATTGCATTGGTACAAACCCTAGAGTGTACACTGGTGTGTACTCTGGTGTGGACTGGGCTGGATGATAGTGAGGTGCCACGTAGGTTCATTGGCAGTAATGTCTGTACTTCTCTGGTGTGGGGTGTCAGTGGTCAGGAGGCTAGACCTGTGTGGGGAACAGGAGGATATAGGAACTCTCCACTTTGTGTTAAATTTTCCTGAGGAAATCACTCTAAAATCGCTCTTAAAAAATCTACTTAAAATAAGTCATGGAGGATGCTCCCTAACCTGGAAGACTCTCTGAGATGTTGGCCCTGCGCCACCTTCCACGGTGTTCCCCACCTGGAAAGCTAAACCTCACCTGAAGATGGGCAAAATGGAGAAAGGAGTTGGGGGCACCCTTGAAGGAAAGGAGGTCCCCAGAAGGGAGGTTCCTTTCAAGGCCTTGTTTCCTTGAAAGCACCTCTCTCCTCCGTGTGATTCCCATCTTTCCTCTCCCTGAAGTTGTCCTGGGCAGCAGTGGGGGAGGACGCGTGGCGGGGTGGTAGGGCCTCTCAGAGGTGGGTGACATGCAGCTGAGCAAAGC